TGTAGCGCACAATCCACAAATTGAAGGAGGCGTGCCAATCCCTCCAAAAGTCTCGGATGCTCACGGTGTTACTAAAGCACCGACGCATGTCCTCCGGCACGTCAAAGCCGTCCAAGAGTGCCGTCAGACGGTTGAGCTTCCATATCAGACTGAATTTCAGCCAGAGAAAGGCCAAGGAGTAGTATAAGAGGAACGCCCGCTCGCCAAGGCTCAGCTGAAAAAACACTTCCGGGTGCACACGAAAGGCATTAACAAAAACAAAATGAAGCATAAAGACAAGCGTCAGGTACAAGTTGAAAGTCCGCAGGGCGTAAAGAAGCACCTGCCGTCGCGGCACGGCAAGAGTAGCGTCGTGGCAGTGTGACACAAAGGCGTTGAAGGAGGACATGGGACCCGCCACGTACAGTGGGACATACAACATGTATGCAATGTAGCTCAGCACATGGTACTCACATGGGTGGCGAGGACTCTCCGTACGGAACCTGTAGCACCGTGTGGCCGAAGCGCCCTCGCCGCGGTTGGCCTCCCGCATCTGCGCACACTCCAGGCAATTCAGGTCATGCTTCCGCGCCGCCCTTTCTTGCTGGGCTGGGCCATCATGGAACGCCTCGTACATATCCATGTTAAACGCAATCATGCGGAGGGTGTACATGTTAAAGACGACGGTCCAACGGAACTTGGTCCGCCACTTTAATTGCGATGCGGATGCAAACTGCGACGTCATGTGTTCGCCGCATAAGCTGACGGCGAACAACATTGCCAGCTGCGACAACCACATGACTGCCATGAACACTCGGTAGGATACCCCGTACCGCACGAAGACGGCGACGAAGACGTAGTTCATTAATACGAGGAAGACTGGGAAGCAAAATGCCGGCCCATGGAGAAACGCAATGAAAATGACACCCACAATGCCTTGGTACAACTGGAGAGCATAGACTTCTCTCGTCCCACGAAACGCCCGTCGAACGACACGAGACACCATCGCAAAGCAGCCGTAGAACGGAATCAGAAGCCACAGCCAGCGGTCCAAGACTAACCACTGACCGTCACCCCGATGATTATAACCAACAGAATTGAAAGGTGGATGCGACAGCCATTCCCAGCGCGGTGGTTGAAGGCCAAGCTCCGGAGCATGTTCCCGCGAGGCCCCCGACAAGACACTAAAGCCGTAAGAAATGGTACCTACCGCATAAACTGTATACAAAACATACTCTACACAACTGCGGGATTTCACGAGAGTAGAACTGTCTTGATTTGAGCTCTCCTTGGAATCAGTCGCCGGCATCTCTCTTCTCATATTCACCACGGTGGGCAAATAAAATCTTGCTTCCTCACGTTGCACAGAAGCCTGATTCGTCGTGCTACCGTTCATTTGACTCCACTACTTAACTTTCCAAGAAACCCCCGCACGCCCAGAATGGAAACGCTGGGACTCTGTGTGCACTGTTGTATACGCCACTACAAGTACAAAATAGAAAAAGAGAAGCAAAATAATGCGCAATAATAAAATAAAACAAAACAAAAAACGACTGTCGTACACCACTCGCACATTCCCTACGCAAATTTCCTACCCATCCCCTGTGCTTTAATTCAATAACAATAAAAGTGGACGAAAAATACCTAATCACCAAAGAGACGAAAAAAAAAAGTCAACCCACAGAAATGAGCGAGTAATTCATTTCCTTCATTCTTGTTGTTGTTGCTTTTTTTTTCCTCGCTGCACTTCACGCGGCATGCGGTACAGGACGTCGGAACACCGATGAGTACACCGGCCCTTTAGACCGCAAGAGCGCTTAGGGATGAGTGTATGTGTGTGAAAGCACGGTAAACAACGGAGAAAGAGAGAAATAGTTGCAGTATTACTTAGCACCCCCCACCCCCTTCCTCCCCGTCCAGCACCTGCAAGGCCTTCCTTGCCGCGACGCTCCCATCGTCCGGTGCCCCACGCACTGACGGCAGAGCAAAGAACTTCCTAGCTAAACATGGCGATATAAAGTTGTGCGTATGGGAAAGCACGGCCATAAAGAAGGGCATCCCGGAGATACAGTGCGACAGCAGACCCTCCTCGCTGGGCAACACTTCCGCAAGGACGCCGGTCTGTGCAAGTGTGGTGGGCAACAAAGATGGTTTCAACATCGCCCCACTCTTCCCCAACGACGCCAGCGGTGCAAGGGACGGAAGTACACGTTGCGCCTGCCGCCTGTTTTGAATGTGAAGGGAGGACCACATGTGGCGCGGCACGCCAGCGCTGGCAAAGACGCGGCGGCCAAACATGCGGTAGAGACTACAGCGATACGCGACGAAAACTCTCCTCACCGCGGCGAATGACAGAAAATCAAACAAAAAAAAACGGCAAAAATGAAAGGGAAAAAAGGGAGCAACTATGCGCCTGGCTGAGGTGGTGTGCCTTCGGTGCCTGCAGAGAGGGAAGGGGCAAGACTGGGAGACAACAGTTTCCTTCAAGGGGGCGCCCGGCATCCCTCCAGTGAAGAAAAGAGTTATGAGCCACTTACACGGAGGAAACAAGCAAATGAATTCAAAAAGTGTTTTATAATAACCGGTCCTCGCCAGCCGCTCACAAAAACGGCAGTCGTTGGGGCCCCCACAGTCGCCGGAACTCCCATTGACCTTCCAGCGCACAACGCCGCCGCACAGTACAAAAACAAAAACAGCGTCAAGACAAACACGGGACCAACCGACCACAAATCTTCGGTGGTGACTCGATCCATCGGGCGCCCATTCACCGCATTCGCCCCAGAAGAGAATCCAATTAGATTTGCGACAATTAAGCCAAAAACAGTAAATAACCCACCAAAAGAGCGAATAAGACGCTGGTACCTAGAACAACGCAACCGGGCACATCGTGGGGAGGACCATATAAAACCAACAGAAAGCTCCAGTACGAACATGGTCAGGACACACATCGCCCACTTCAACAGGTGAAGCTCAATGTCGTGCCAAAATGGCTATGAAGAAGAAGATGGGGAAGATGTTGAGATGTTTCTTCTTGTTTCCGCCCATGGGTATGTACATGTAGCG